CCAGCCGATCGCTGCTGCCCCACCCGGCCGCCCCAGGTCGGGTCGCACACAGGATGCCCGCTGCCCCGGGTCGCAGATAGCAGGCCTGGATGGCGGCAAGGCAGGCGGGATGGCGCTGTCCCGCCCCACCGCCCCGGGTCACAAATAGCAGACCCAGATGGTGGTGGGGCAGGGGGGATGGCGCTGTCCCGCCCTGCCTGCAGTATGCAAATTAGCCGCCATCTTTGTTGGTGGCTAATTTGCATATCACGCTGATTAGCCAATGGGAGGCTTAGCAAAGGTACGGTCAATTACCATATTTGTCTATTATTAGATAGGACTAGAGGCCCGATGCAGGAAGATTCGTGCAAGAATGGGCCTTCCTTCCCCTGGCTGCCAGCACTGCCTTCACTCAGGCCCAGAGCCACCTTTCTGCCTTCATTCCGGCCCGGAGCCGCCTTTCTGCCTTCCCACGCTGCCCAAAGGCCCTGAGCAGCTGGGGTGGTGTGGAATGCCTGCATCGTCGCCATGGTGATGACACAAGCGTCCCACCCTGCCCCCAGCCGCTCGGTGCCTGCATATGCAAATTAACCCACCATCTTTGTTGGGTTAATTTGCATACTCACTGCTGATTGCCTGGTGGGTGTCGTGAAGGTATGGTCAATTTGCATCTTTCTCTTTTATTAGTGTAGATAGATAGGTATATGTTTATAGAACTTACCCCAACAAATTTGGCTTCAAAATATTTTCTTCCTGTAAAGAATATCAGCACTAATTCCAATAAGCTTAAGTTGCTTATCTAAAAGTCACATTTCCAAAACATCTCTTTATGAGCTTATTGTAGGTCAACAAATACTAGGCCTCTTGAACTCCAGTTCTGACTTGCTGCTATCTTCTACAATCAGTCATTCATTACTAAAAAGAAATATCAGGCAAATAACAGCAATAGATTAAAACACAAAGATAGCATGTATTTCAAATGCTAATGTTTTCAGATTGGCAATAAATATAGAAACCAACCATCTAGATTTTAGAGGTATCTTCTAAGAAAACTGAATTAACTCTACAAAAAGAGCTCTAGATGGGTTAGACATGGGTTAGAAAAAAAGGTATAATTTAAATTATTTGGAAGTAATTATCATAATCTTTTAGCTTTAATTTGCCATTGGTGGTCGAAGTCCTCAGATTAACAAAAATAGAAATCCTCAGATTAACAAATTCAAGTGAGCATTTGGGAAGCCCACCCCATTCATTTAAGAAGCCATGATGCAGTTTCTAAAGAGGAAGGTCATATATCACTAACTATAAAACTTTTTTCAGGTTATTAGAATCCTAATTGAGAATGAAAATACAGTAATTTCTATTTTAAGAAAGATGTATATAAACTGCATTTCCTAAGCAGAATTAACTGAAAATAATTAGAAGAGTGGCAAATGCATTGAATCAACAGAGTGGTATCAAACACATCTCTAAACAGAATTTACTCTAAGTTGGCAAAAAAAAAAAGAGGGGAGGTTATCATAGAAGAATATCTCTGCAAAGAAATATACAACCAATGAAAAGCAAGCAACTCAAAGAGATGCAGGAACATAAATAAGCTAAAAGAAAGTGGCTGAAAGAAAATGCAAAGTATCTTGGAAGCTATTTTTCCACCAGTTAGTTATCAAAGGCTTGAAAAGGATCATGCCTACACCCATGAAAAGGCAAAAATGCGGAGGACAACCACAGTTATTTCACATTTCTCCTATATCCCAGGATATTTTTTCCATAACCCCCCTTCAGAAATAACAAATTAACTGACACCAGAAAAAAATTTTAACAGCCAGGGCTTTGTGAATACACTTCCCAAGGTCTACTGACAGCTGTCATCCTAACTGCCTCATCCCCCAATGGGACTTATCACTGTAGTTGGGATCCTGGATCCACACTGTATGTGACCCAGAGCAAATCACAGCCTTGCCAAGCCTTACTTTCCTTATCTGTAAAGTGTGTGTGTGTGGGGGTAATACAACTAATTTTGTAGGGTTCATAGGAGGAGTAAAGCACCTAACAATCTGTGACATACAGTGTTATAATATTAGCTACTGTTATGAGCAACAGCATTCCAAATATCATCCAGGTAACTTTATTCACACAGAAAAAAAACAAACACCTGTTTTAGGATTTGCTAATTGTTTTGTAAATCATTTTTGTTTTGCTTTAAAATAAAAAAGGGGGGGTGATACTGAAAAACAGGAAGAGATGTTAGAGTATTCTTATCTTCTTACCCATAAGACCTGATCAGGTTATTATTGATAGGTACTTATTTATTGCCATTTTAATTCTATATAGCTAGGTTTCTCTCTCTGTTTCTTCTCATTACAGCAGCCCCTTTAACATTTCTTGTAATGCTGGCTTGGTGGTGATGTACTCCTTTAGCCTGTTTTTTGTCTGGGAAGCTCTTTACTTGACCGTCTATTTCGAATAATAGTCTTGCTGGATATAGTAATCTTGGTCTCAGATCTTTGCTTTCCATTACCTTGAGTACTTCATGCCTTTGCCTTCTAGCCTGTAGAGTTTCTGATGAGAAATCAGATGTCAGCCTTATGGGAACTCCTTTGTAGGTAACAGTTTTCTTTTCTCTTGCTGCCTTTAAGATTCTTTGTCTTTAATTTTTGGCATTTTAATTATGATGTGTCTGGGCATGGGCCTGTTGGGTTCTTCTTGCTTGGGGTTCTCTGTGCCTCCTGAACTTGTGTGACTTTTTCCTTTACCAGGTTAGGGACGTTTTCTGCCGTTATTTCTTCAAACACGTTCTCTATTCCTTTCTCTCTTTCTGCCTCTTCTGCCACACCTGCTATTCTAATATTGTTACGTTTCACATTGTCCCACAGCTCCCTTAAGCTGTCCTCCTACTTTTTAATTGTTTTTTTCTCTTTGGTTCTCTGATTGAGTGATATTTTCAACTCTGTCTTCTGATTCACTGATTCGATCCTCAGCTTCCCCTAATCTGCTGTGTATTCCTTCCAATGTGTTCTTTATTTGTGTTATGTCATTCTTTATTTCAAACTGTCCTTTTTTCATAGTTACTATATCTTTTTTCATGCTGTTGAGTATCTTTACATCATTACTCTGAACTCTGTTTCAGATAAATTTCTTATCTCTGCTTCATTTATCTCTTCTTCTGGAGAATTCTCTAGTTCTTTCATTTGGGGATTGTTTCTTTGTCTCCTCATTTTGGCTGTCTGTTTGGGTTTGTGACTATGTATTAGGTAGATCCTCTATACCTCTCAATCTCTAGTGCAGGACAGTGTTAAAGGTTGTTTCTGACTAATTAGATCAGGCAAAGACTCAAAGCCTCCAGAGAAGGCCTCTGACTGATAGGGTTCCCAACTTGAATTGCCCCCCAGGCAATCCTCCTCAGGTGTGGTGAGAGTTTTTTTTCCAACAGTGTGGGGCAGTTACTTCTGCCTGAAGGCTAATTGTTATTTTTAATCTCTTAAATGGCCTCAGGGCAAGGTGTTTTCCAATAGGGTGTGTTGACTGTCTTCCCCTCAGGCAAGGCAAATGTCTATGTGGGAAAGATGTCCTCCGCTGCATGAGGGAATGACTCAGCCCAGGAAACTTGAGGTGTCTGTCTTCTGAGCTCTATCCCCCAAGTCTCCAGTCCTGTCTTCTGCTCTCACAGCTCCAGTCCACTTCACCCTCCCTCTGCCGGAGCACAAGGTGGGTGGCTCTACAGCAGTGGTTCTCAACCTTCTGGCCCTTTAAATACAGTTCCTCATGTTGTGACCCAACCATAAAATTATTTTCGTTGCTACTTCATAACTGTAATGTTGCTACTGTTATGAATCGTAATGTAAATATCTGATATGCAGGATGGTCTTAGGCGACCCCTGTGAAAGGGTCGTTTGACCGCCAAAGGGGTCGCGACCCACAGGTTGAGAACCGCTGCTCTACAGGGAATTTTGTGTGTTGGCCCTTTAAGAGGGTGCTAGAATTTTCAGCTGTCACTCCCTGGCAGACAGACAAAGATATTCTTTAATCTGTGCTGGCATCTGCAAGGCTGGGATCACTCTAATGCTCAGCATGAGACACTTCAGGTGCTGAAGGAATTTCCGCTTTTATAACCCCAAAATTGTATAATCACACCACCTACTCAGAAATGCTATCTATTTCTGTTACACAACAGCCACCACCTGGTCACAAATGGTTGCTGCAAGCCTTAGCATAGCCTGCTTATAGTGTCTACATCTCTATATGGCCGGCTGGATATTCTATTGTGGAAACCAAGCAGCTGCTGGTTCTGATCAGATTATTAGCTCAAAACGTTATCTCCTCTGCAGACAGCTCCTAACCCTTACTTGACTAAGACCTCAAGCTTGGTTAGAAAGTATTAAGCCATAATATTATCCTAGGTGTAGCATTGTCAAACATAAAAGTTAATTTTCTAAATATAAGCTCAAGAAATAAAGAATATCAGCAAAATTCATTGCAATAAGAAAACACACAAAAAAAACCATAAACTTCCACAAGGTACAAATTTAGTCAAACAGATACCCTCTGGTAAGTGGCTTTATTTGATCTCTTTTCTGTTTGAAGAGAAAAAAAGCATACTGCAAGACATGATGCTCTAAGCAGACCTAAATTTAAAAGCAACAACTATCAGAGTATATACCATAGTCAGGACAAAGTCACCCTAATCCCTTTTATTTGCCATACTTATACTTTTAACAGAGAGCTAATGTCACAAAGATAACCCTGTCACTTTAAGAAAAAAAAACTATAATTGTGTTTCCTGAGGCTGAACTGAGCCAGAAAAAGTTACTGATGTATATTTTAGAAATCATTTCTACACTTTAAAACATTTTCTGTCTAATCCTCAATCAGAATATGAAATTAACTAGAACATACCACTTTCTAAAAATTTTTTGTTAACCAAGAATTTAATGTACTCTTAGAAAGCTTTGAAATTATACCAAGTCCGGTCCAAATTATTTTCATTCCTAAAGGTAATGTACAGATATGAACATGAAACTTACTCAGATTTGCTGTCATGGATTCTAAATCTGCTATTAAACCTGGAAGCTGCTGAAGCTGCTCCTGTAACTCTATTAGGCTTGTCTTCTTTTTTTCCCAGTGTGCTGAAAGCATAACCACCTCGCTATCCACCAGCTGCAACACAAAAGAGGAAGGGTAAAGTAAAACCAGATTTTAAGCACAAAGAAATTGTAGTCATCATAATGAAAGTTGGTTGATGTTGTCTTTAAAAACCCCTCTACTGACTGTAAGTCACAGGACACTAGAAAGAAGACTGAAGTTGTTTTCTTTCTTAGAAAACAACCAATTTAATATTCAGTATAGAAAACCTCAAATCACTGCTTGTCTCAGTGCATCTTAATCCAGAGAAGACGAAGTTCAGAAATGACCTTAGACATCACTTCTAAGTATACCCTTTTTTTAAGTAAACCCCGAATTTGAAAATCCAAATCTAGAAAAATAAAACAAAAAACTACCACTAACGACTGAAAAGAAAACAAACAAAACAACTCAAAACATAATTGCTAGGTAATTATTTGCTTTTTACAAAAGGAATTCTTTACAGAAATGCATTTAAAATATACAGATTCCATTTAGAATATACAGATTCCATTTACATTTAACAGGAACAGATTGCATAAGGTAAATGGTACTTTTATATGAAGAAATTATTGAGGCAACTGATCAATTCCAGAAAAAGAAAAGAAGGATTTATGTTAACAAAGAAGTAATTCAGATGTAAAATATTAGGGTAATAGCAGGGTGGTGCAATACTATACTAGTCTAAAATAATTCTAATTTATTTTCCTGAAGATGTGAAGAAAATGACAGACATCAGTTTCTCCCAGACAATTATGTTTTGCTCTTAACACAGTGGTAGGGGAAAGAGCTTAGAATAAGATTTAGAAGGAGCAAGGAGAGGTCATCTTTTGAAAACATCACCAATGATAAGAAAGGATTGTGAAAGATACCCACACAGAAATATAATATAAAGATGGCAAAATTCACTGTATAACAAAAAAATGCATTTGAATTTTATATGTAAATCAGGGTTCACAGTTAAGTTACAGTTTTTAAAAAAGATAATTTACATGTCCCAAGATTAAGTAAGAGTCTTCATAAGTTGAAACATGAACACAACTGATTCTTACTGAATATCTCTAAAGAAAGAGCTTTAGAGGAATAAAAATAACAAAATAAGATGTGAAATTATTTGTATATTGAACTACATTGTTTGTTTCTACATTTTAATAATGTAGGAAATTCACACTGAAGTAGAGAACTAAGCTACAATAAAGAGGTCAGAAAGCTGCCTAGTTTTCTCATTCTATCCCTAGTTCTCATACCTCCCCCCTGTTTTTCAACCCACACTGAAAGAATAACCACCTCATCTCTCACCTAAAGCCTCAACTGAGCTGGAAAGGTGACACCACGCTTTATTCAAGTGGCATTCTCATAAATGTTGTATATTTAAAATGCTTATTGGCCCGGCTCAGTAGGTTGAACATCATCCCATGCATCAGGAGGTCACAGGCTAGATTCCCAGTCTGGGCACATGCCTGGGTTGCAGGCTCAATCCCTAGTAGGGGGAGTGCAGGAGGCAGCAGATCAATGTTTCTCTCTCATTGGTGTTTCTAACTCTCTTTCCCACTTCCTATCTCTGAAATCAATAAAAATATTTTTAAAATGCTTATTGTCTACCAGTTTTTAAATGATCCCTAAGAGTAGTTTTAAAAATACTGAGCAATAAAAAAAAAAAATGCCAAACAGTCTTCATAGGCAAGCTGTAATGTAACTATCATCAGGAAACTAAGGCTTGAAACAAGGATCTGTGTTCATAAAATTCATTTAAAATAGTCAACAAGCCCTGGGTGGGTAGTTCAGTTGGTTAGATACACCAAGGTTGCAAGTTTGACCCCTGAACAGGGCACGTACAAGAATCAACCAATGAATGCATAAATAAGTGAAATGACAATGTTCCCCCCGTCTATGAAATCAACAACAACAACAAAAATTTAAATAAAATAGTCAACAAACTTCTACAGACCATCTACTATCTGCCAAGCATTGTTTTAGGCACTAGAAATACAATGGTGAATAAAACAAGAAAAAAAATCCTGCCCTCTTTAGTGCTTATATTCTCATAGCAGGTCTCACAAACTCTCTTAGCTTCAGTATTAAACTCTGAAAAAAAAAATCCTATATCACAAGGTTGACTTGAGGATAAATAATATATTTTTCCTGGTTCATGGAATACCTTTTAAAAAGCCTGTGAAATTACCCTGGCTGGGTGGTTCAGTTGGTTGGAGTGTTGCCAGTACACCAAAAGGTTGCGGGTTTGATTCTCAGTGAGGGCACATACCTAGGTTGTGGGTTTGATCCTCCACTGGGAGGCATACAGGAGGCAACCCACTGATGTTTCTCTCTCTCTCCCTTTTCCTTCCCTTCTCAAAAAAAAAGAAAAAGAAAAAGAAAAAAGAAAGGCTGTTAAACTTAGTTACTCTGGTTAATTAGGTTAATAGCTTGAAAAACCTAGAATAAACAATTTTTAGATATTAGCCATTTCTTACTGAAAATTAAAATGCAACATTTAAATATCAAACTTAACTACAGTCTAGTTCAGTCCTTCCACAAAATTAAAAGTTATATCCTAAACATAAAATATAAGAAGTGTTTATGGAAAGAATATATGAAAATACACTAAAATGTTGCTTTCATTTAAAAGAGTGGAAGGTTCAATAGCTTTTCAGAAATCATCATTATTAATAATTATGTAATAACTAGAGGCCCAGTGCACAAAATTAGTGCATGGGTAGGGTCCCTAGGCCTGGCCGGCAATCAGGATTGACCTGCGGGGTGACCAGCAGGGCAATCAGGGGGCCCTGCTTGCACCTGCCTTGGCTGGCCTGGCGCTGTCTGCTTGCTAGCCCCACGCCCTGCCGCTACCGCCAGTTGGGGCCTGCGGGCTGGGGGCAGCTCCTGTGTTGAGTGTCTGCCCCCTTGTGGTCAGTGCACACCACAGCGACCGGTCATTCTGCCGTTAGGTCGATTTGCATATTAGGGTTTTATATAGATAGATACTAAAACATTCTGAGCATTTTCTATGTCCAGGTCCTGTACTAAGCAATTTACATGTATTATCTCATTTAAACCACATAACAACCTTGTATACTAAGCATTACTACCACCTTCATCTTATAAATGAAGAAACCGAAGCATAATGAAGCTAAATCACTTTTCCAAGGGCCACAGTGGAACTAGACTCAATCCCAGGGATTTTGACACTTTAAGTTCATACCCTTAAATCAATGTTCTGGGGACTGTACTATATAGGTTTAAAAAGGAAGAAGAAAAGTGAAAAACTAGCAAAAAGAAAGCATTCTGCAAAACTGTACTTAAACTTTACTAAATAATAAGAAATGAGCTACCTCCAGAAGGCCAATGTTTTTACTTGGTCCATATTTCTGAATAAACCCAGATTCAACACCAGGAAATCAAGTTTAAGGAGGAAGACAAACCCATAGTGCTTCATTCCAAAATTCCTTCTGGCAGACACTGAAGTTAGATGAAAAAAAAAAAAAAAGCAGGGAACACCAATGATTTACAAAATGGCTAACAACAGGACCTTACTGTGTACAAATCTTGACAGTTCAGAGTGTGGGGGATATATTAGTTCATATGATTTCCATACTACTTTGTTTGGTAAGCAGGGTAAGTGGTGGAAACTAATTTCATAGAGGAGGAAACTAAAACAGAGAGACTAATTTATATGCCCAAGGCCAACATGTATTCATGCAGAAACTAGGATTTCTAACACCCAGTCAGGTCGCCTTTTTACCACAGGCAGAGCAGATCCATGCTGGAAGAGTGAAGCATGTCCAACTTAACCAGCTTACACATCAAATTATTAAACAAAAAATGATTCTTAAGAGTTTAATTTGAAGGCAAGCAAATATTTCACAATAGAAATTACAAGCAAATAATGTACTGTAAGTCTAACTTTAAAAAGTTGCCCTCAGAGTCTAACCCCTAAGTCAATATTAACTATATATTCATTTATATACTGCTAAAGGGAGAAAAAAATGTCAAAGAACTTGAAAAAAATTTGTAGAAAAAGCTTAGACAATAACGTTACCATTGACCACAGCTATTTGTCTTCTAAGATATTGCCCTAAATTTCAAGACTATATAGTAAGGTTTAGCTTTAAATTAGATGAGTATAAAATAATTTGTCAAACAGGATTGAATTGCTCTTAAGTATATTTGCCCTGGTAGGGTCAAACAGGTTAAAGACCACCAAAGACTTTTGAGCATGGTCTGACAAAATAAACACATGACAGGCTTAACACTATACATATTAAAGCTATACATTTTTTAAGGCCTTAGAGAGAGGCAGAGGCAGAGGCAGGGCAGAAGGGGTCAATAGGGAAAACAAGGGGGACATCTGTAATACTCTCTACAATAAAGATAAATTTTAAAAAATAAAGTTATACATTTTAAATATTTGCATACATCTCAACAATACATCAGAGGGCTTTAAAATTTTTTCATTTTTAAAGTTGAGTAATACATTTCTGGAGAGTAATAGAGGCACTTTTGATTAGATGTGGATTTTAAAATAACCAAGTACTCAACTATGAAAAAATTTCCCCAAATAGCATAAATCCAACAATAGGTCTTATAGAAATTTCTTTCTCCTGTATTTATTTTATTATGAAATACTTCTTTCAATCAAAAGAATAATTTTTGTTAAAGATCCTCGACAGGATATAGTCTTAATTGCATGTTGTTTGTGGGATTCATCCACGCTGATAAATGTAGGGATAGTAGTTTATTAATGTTCACTGCTGTATGGTATTTGATTTTTATAAATAATATAATTTATTCTGTAGATCAGAATAAACGAGGCATGCAGCCCACTGGCCACAAGTTTGACATGCTTGCTGTAGATGGACTTAGGGACTATCTAAAGTTTCAACAGAACCTGCTACAACATTCTTATACAAATCTCCTGGTGCACACAAGCAAGTTTCACATGTGAGTCAGAGATGTGTCTAAGTTATTGCTCTTATCTCCCAGAGTGGTGACAGGACTTGGGGTAGTTAAACTCCCCCCAGCCAAATCATTGCTGACTT